AATATATTATCTCGGAAATGAGTGAATACGTGTATTTTAAATGAAGTGGTATGTAGTGTCCAAGTGTCGGACATACCCGAACAAAAAACGGATCTTATAGAAAGAATAATAATCGATTATAAAAACTTTTGCTTTGTTGGATTTTTTTATTTATTTGTTTATTTTGTTTTTAACAATTTTAATTATTTGGTGGGAACTGCTGAAAAAAAGAAACATATTCTGTTGTTGACATACAGTTTTCGAATACATACATATTCATACGATGTACATTCTAGCGTATATACAACTCTTTGTTACGCAATTTTCAACTTTCGCTCACATTATTTGGTTTGTACTGAATTAGCCTCAAAAGATACTTCGGATTTGTAAGTCTAGGTGCATCCATTTTGTATTGTTATGAAATTCACTTTCCTAAGCTATAGTTCGTATCACTGGATCTTGGATATTTTTTTCAAGAGAAATACACTTCATTGTTCTTTTATTTACAATTATATTCCTTAAATGTAAAATTGTTTACAATTTTTTTCGGTCAATACTTTCGACTGCTCAACTCGAAATTCTTTTTCTACTAACTCTCCCTTCCACAAATATTCTATTTAAATACATTTTTACCAGCATATTACTAGTACCTAATTTTGTTGCTTCATTTTTAATCCGTTAACCTGCTTTTCTGGTACTCGTTTTCCTCGGCCGGCAGCTGCCTTACGCGATGCAAATATGCATTTGGTTTTTTCCTCTTTAGCGATTTTATTACTTAGTTGAAATGAACTGAATGTGGGATTTCCGTAACAGTATGTTTACAGATTCTTCAAAAAGGTTTGCACCAAATTAATTATTACTGAAGTGAAGATAGCCCACCAAGATAGTCCACATTTTTTTAGGTTCGTATCTTCGCTGAAAATGTTCTTGCTAGATTACTTTTTATGGCGAATTAGGCAACGAACATGTAAAATAAATATTAAAATTAAATAATATTAGCAAACGTGCACGTATACAATAAACTAAGCCTCTAGAAACGAATACAAAACCAAAAAAGCTAATTGCTACTAAATCTCATGCAAAGTTACGTTGCAAATACTGAAAGATTGCAATTTTCAGATTGCGTTATAATCATTTTTAGAGACATTGCCCTCCTGTAGATTTTTGACGCCTTAAAGAATGCCGTGGTTCCGGTCCATCACCAGGAAATTTGCCGTAAACCTGCTCTCTTCATATATGAACATTTTGTAATCTTTTAATTTTTTTCATCTAATTATCGATTCTATTCAAAGTTAAACTCGCAATTATCAACAAATTTGATTTTTTTCTTTCTACTTTCTGATAATTCTTGCAAACAAACAGACGTTACTGCGCGGAACGCTTTCTCTCAATGATTTCCTATAAATTTGCGAGAAACCCTTGCTCTCAATAATTTAACACAAACATTTAGACGATATATACAAGACACTAAATGTAAAATGTTGCAATAATGTTGCTAATGAGTCTTGCTAATGAAATGTTTGATCTTATATACATAATGTTTTTATTTTTATTCAAAATGTAAGTTTAAGATAACATGTCTGTTTGCAATAGTAGCATGAGTTTAAAAAGGCTGTACCCGGGTGTGCTAGTGCGGTTGCCCATGCACTTGCTTAAGAAATTATATGCATGTTGTCGCCATTTTTCAAACTATGAAATTTGTACAATTTTATTCAAAACATTCTATAGGCAAGTGTAGTATATGTTTTTATGTACTTGCGCGTGTGCTTGTTGATCAGCAGCCATTTGACTGCCTGCTTTTTCTTTCTCATTATTTATATCGGTAAAAATTCAGTTTATGACTTTTTGGTATGACGCCCTTTATCGGGTAATAGCGATCTGAATGCCCAAAAAATAGTTGAATCTAAATCGGAGGGCGTCCATAGGAAAATAACAAGCGAAATCATTAGAGTGAATGATTTATTTAGCGACCGTCTGGAGAATTTGAGGAAGCGATATACAAAAAACGCAATCAAGGACGACCGTTTTTTCCAATACCTTGCCGAACCTTGCGAAGTTGAGTTGTTTCCGGGAAATCAAATAAAGGTAGCAGCGATAGCCAAAAAAGTTAGTAAAGAAGGTTGAGTATGTCATTTAGATACGACAGCGTCTACTATAAGAAACATTTCAGATGTTAGGAACTACATATTTTATTACGCTTTGGATACAACCAATCATCGAGGGAAAAATTAACGGGTAACCGAAAGATTAGCCAACACGCATGATGCAGATTCAATTGGTAACTGGCTAATGAAACACCAGCAATTGTCTGAGAGAGAAGGATCTTGGCCTCTTTTCACAACAATCGTTACGAATTTCAGCAGCGTCCTTATAAGTGTGTGTAAGTTGAATAAAAATAAAAACGTTATAAACATAAAATCGAAAATAACATAAGCAACAAAAGCATTACGTATATGCCTTGTGTATATGAAAAGGGCAAGTAATGAAATTATGCTTTTCTGATGGGTTTTAGCGTCGTTTAAGACAAACTTATCAAAAATCTGCACTAGGCAGAATTCGTTAAAATTTTTTATACATGCTTTGTCTATTGTAACTTTTCGCCCACAATGTACATGCGCTATATGGTAAATAGTAGCAAAAAAATTTTATTTTAATTTCTTATATTTTGTATAATTTCTTATTTTATTTACGCTTGTATTTCTATTTTTATCAGTTTTTATCATTTGCCTTGGCATAGGAGTGAAACAAGTATGAACATAATCCACCTTTTAGCGAACATAAAAAATTGGGCTATGTACAGTGAGCTAACTCCACGTCAATTAATTATTCGCTATCGAGGAGTAGGTACCTACACGTAAGTGTTTGCAAAATTTGGACAGATTATGTGTACGCACAAACATTATAGACTTACAGTCCCATTAAATAGATAATCCAATTTTATGTACGTCAATAATAATATATTAATGAATTTAAGTTGTATAGGGTGTATAATATACTTCATGTCTATATAGTTCATCTCCTACCTTAATGCCAGAAAGGGACAGATATGCGGGCATCGCTCTAAATAATAAAGCCGTCAAGAAATATGAAAGACACGAAGCAAAGATTAACACTACACTTTAAAGACTAAGCAGTACATATAAAAGGTAAAGTCAGACAAGACTTATGGGAATTGGCGACTCGCAAGGATTTTTACTTTTATTTTCGGAGTAAAGTGTGTCCTAAAAATAAGAAACTGAGTGTTACTTTGTTTTATAAAGGGAAGAAGACAAAGTGAATGCCAATTGTTTTCATAAAGAGAAAGAGATAAATCTTTCAGCAGAAAGCTACGTAAAAAATAGAGATTCGCTTTGCAAATAGTATGTAGGCAAATTAAAAACGAATGTTGTATAATACCAGATATTAGCGGTAGTTGATCACACATTATAGAAGACATCAAGATAAACCTTATGCGCCTGTCTGCGTAGGTATGTGCGTGCCTGCAACCGTTACATTTCCTTTCATCTCAAATAAGTAAAGTCTACAATTCCAGTCAAAACTGGTCATTAGGTGAGGGAGTGATTCCATGGCTTAGTCGACTAAAGTTTAAAATATATAATCCCATAAAACCAGTTAAATATAGAATTTTAAATAGAACGGTATGCGAACCTAAGGTAGGTTACATCTATAACTTTAAATTATATTCAGAAAAATGCCGTAATTAGCAAAATATTGTCACATGAATTCTTGGTACCATATCTCAACAATTGGTATAATGTTTATGCTGACAACTTTTATAATAGGGTAAGTTTGACGAACCTGCTTATACAGTATGAAAATCTGAATCTATGGCACCGTCACGATAAACCTATACAGTGTTTTTCCATTGTAACTTAAGAAAATTGAATAAAGTAAGAATTAAAAACTAAATCAAAAAAATTTTGGTGGTTTATAGTAATGAGTGGGCGCGCTGAATTTTTGTTAATTAAAAAAAAAAAAATCTTGTGGTCTAGCATGTACAGTGAGTGCACTTTTAAACTTTCTGCCTTTTCAACCTTATGACAGTAATAAGAAGAAAACGTTGAGAAAATGAAAAAATAAACATTTGATAACTTATAAATTTGTATTGACTTGGCAGACATTTTCCATTTTTGAACATGAGCGGTTCTATTCTTCTTTCTTTCATAAATTATGAGTAATGCGCTAAAGCCTTTGCTTAAGCAAACGAAAGTACTTTCAATTCAAGCTTTTCATGGCCTTTGACCGATTTGGCCTACTTTCAAGGTCAATCTGTACGCAAAAACCTATGTTTCTGCCAAATTTAAAGTCAAATGTCAAAACCACATACGCATCCACAAAAATGGATAAAGGGACAGGCAACATTGGACGAATTGAGAATTTGACGTTGATCTGAAATTTCCTTTTATGCGTTGCAAACATTACGGCAAAATGGATATAACCCTTTCTTCACTGCTGGGTATAAAATTAACGGTTTATTTTTAAAAAGCGTTTCTTAAAATTTTACTTATATTTTTATTCATTCTGTTTTCCGTTTTTTATATTATACAGACGTTATTTTGTTACGAATACTTTTCATGTTTTTTTTTTTTTTTTCGTTGAATTTTATTCGATTAGAATGCCAAAAATTTGGGGCCTTTGCTTTCATTTTTTTTATTTCATTTCATTTTCTTCTTCTTTTTATATAAAGAAATTTACATGGTTTCACAATAACACTCATCTTTTTGCAAAGGCATACAATTACAGCCCTTAACAAAAATATAAACCTTCATCTGCTGTCGTGTGGTAAGCGTGAATATCCCGCGAAACGGGCGCATGCAAAAGAATTCAAAACACCGTTTATTTAAAACACTTGTTTTATATTCCAAAGGTTTACATTTCCTTTCGAACACATGCAGACATCGAATAACGCGTAACGAAATGCATAGGTAAACACCGCTAGTGTTTAGTTTTTACTGACTTGTCGCACATAACAAAAAACAAAAAAAAAAAAGGTTAAGTAAATAAAACTATAATAAACGCACATAAATATGAACATTTTTAAATATCGCACAGCATACGTAAATAGAAATGTATCGCACAATACATGTGTATACAACTTAAACCAAAAAATTTTTTTTGCCTGTGTGACTTGTTTGGCTTAATTCATTAGAGAGTCGCGTGCTAAAGCAAAGAACAAAATATTTTTATATATATTAACTTGACCCGTTATTATATGTATATACACTTTAAAGGTGGATAATGTTTTTCGTTTTCTGCTTTTGAAAAATTTTTCTATTTAATTGCCACGAACGCATAACCACTAAACCAAACAACTTTCCCTTTCGGTAGTCGAAACGTTTCTGAATATTGTGCAGATTGTTTCTGTGTAATTGTGTGGCACAAGCATACCGTTCCGTGCCGGAGAATGACTGTCTAAGAAAAACAAGAACAACAACAGCAACAAGCATAACAACGATAGCAATGGCAACCCATTTGTTATAGATTACAAGTCAAGTGAAGTCAGTATTTTTAAAGGGTAGATAGCGAAACGTCATGATTGGGGTAGATAGGTAGCTGTAAGCGATGCTATATAAACAAATGCATGTAGTATGTAGCAGAGGTAAATTACTTGTTCGACAATAACGCGGCTTATAAATGAGGTAAAAAGCTTTTTCGCTTAATTTTTTGTTTTGGCTTTGCGTTTATTTTCTTTAATACTGTTGTTGTTGATGTTGTTAGTGGTGTTGCTCCTTTACGATATTATACAGCGCGTGCTGTTTGTTTATAATTTCAATATTGTTATTAGCTTCGTCATAATCGTTATTGTCATCATCAGACTTCTCAGCATGTTTATCATTTAATATCATAATTAAGTATTAGGTTGAACATATTCGTTTACATTTTTGCTTACAGATATACAGTAAGTCTCGTTAATACTGGGTCTTTTCGCTCGACAAAAAGTAAACGCTTGTTAAACCTAGTTCATTGTCCATGAAAATTCTTTTTACTATTTTGTACTACTAGAGAATACATATAACAATGTAAAAAGAGAACAAATAAAACATTCCAATAGACAAGCAAATTAAATAACTTCAACAAGCAAAAAACATAGTGTCATTAATATTATACCCTACACCACGTACGGTACATGGTACATTAAGTTAGTGCGATCGTAAGTAACACATAAAAGGACTTAGTATAGATCCACCTTTTATTATACCGATTGATTCAGATTTGTAATCTGAATTGATCTAAACCTGCCTGTCCGTCTGTCCGTGTGATATCTGTCCATGTAAATTGTATTCAAGCTGCAGCTCGCAATTTTTGAGATGTTTCGATGAAATCTGGTACAGTGACGTGTCTTGACACAAGGACGAACGTTGATGAAAATGGTTCGGATCGATCTAGTTTTCGATCACTCCCCACACAACATCCTCATATGGAAAAAAATTTTAAAGTTCAAAATTTCCTTGCAAAAGTGGCTAAGTAGTAGTATTACGGTAATCTAAATTGGTATGAATATTTTGGACCGGCTGTGGCAATTTTTGAACCCGCTCTCATACAACGAAAACTAAAGTTCATAAGACAAAAAAGTATCATAAAAGTGATTTAACATAAAAAACTTAGTGGGCCCAATTAGGATTATCTCGGCCTATTTTTGGGATCCTACCCTAATAATGATTTTCACTAAACTGCAAAGCAGAAAAGTCTAAGTTTTAAGGTTTGATGATGGAAATTAACCCATAATATTGCAGTAACTTCATACAAAAATGACCTCTGCAAAATTTAGACCATCTACGCCTACTTTTGGGTCCTGCGCCATGTAAGGAATAAACTTGTACTACATTAGGTTGCGTTTTGGGCACGCTTCCCCACAAATACGCATTTGATAAATTTGCCTTTATATAAAAACAAGACATAATTTTTGTGTTCTAGAATAAAAATAAGAATTGTGTTGGACAATGTGGTGTAGGCTATTTAAGCGTCGGCCTTGCCCGACTGTAATGTTGTTACTTGTTTTCTCATGAAAAAGGATACGAATATAAAAAACAGTATATTATTAAAAATTAATATGCGGTGGGGTATTCTTTTTGCTTAATCACGTCATTTAAACGTTTTGACCTATTTTGTATAATTTTTCTTGTGTAGGAAACAGGGACCTTATTCCATTCTTTTTATTCCTCTATATTTTTCAGATCTTGGACGTTTCGCTTAATTCATCCCACATATTTTTAATGGCATTCATGCGTTGTGACTAGGGAAGAGGGTGAAGCGCTTTAGAGCAGTTATATAAGTGCCATTCTTGAATTAAGCGGGACTTACGCTTGAGATCCTTGTCTTAGTAAAATTTGAAAGTTTCTTATGGGTATAGCAAAAGGCGAGACTATATTTCATTCTTCTAAGTGTTTCTTGCATGCATGACAACTCAACGTAAGCTCATAACACAACTGCGATATAGTAGAATAAGTAAGAAAGTTCAGTATAGCGGCAGGCGAATCTCTCTTTCGCACCACCACGCTTTCCGCAGGTTACTCACAAAGTTCTTTTATTTGATACCATAGCGCTGCTATTATTAAGAAAAAATTAATCGCGGGGTCTACCATATTTATTTTAGAACTAACCAATTTTTAGGCAGATAATATATCTTCATTTAAAGAATGTACAAAATAGTTTTAAACATTCGATCTTGTTTGTCTTATGATAAACCAGTATAAAACCTAAAATGTGGAAGAAATATAATTTAATCGCTTTTAACTTTGTGTGGCGATTTTTTCCATCTGTGCAGGCAAAGAGTAAATTGTTTCGTAAAATAAATGTGGAAAATTTTGGCGTTCTTACAATTTGTGAGTGGCGAGCAAAAACCCATCAATTTTTGTGAAGGAAAACGGTGTTCCGTTCAGTTTATGCTCCACTGCGGACTTCTGCTCTGACCAATTTGGCCTATTTTCAATAATAACTTGCGTGCAAAAACTTCAAACATTTCTACCAAATTTGAAGGTGATTTTCTAAAAGAATCATCCTAGCTGTGATCAGGGCAACATGTTCGGGCGTTGTGCGAAAGGAGCCACATACCCTCATTGCACATAAGCGGTATGACGATTTTAATATGGGAAGTGGTCACTTCAAAGAATTTAAATGGAATTTTTATCTTTACCGACAGAGTGCATTTGCGTTCCGATATATAGAATGATACAGCTTTTTAAAATGTAAAAGACGTAGCCGTCTGTCCATTAATCTTTACTTTGTTTGCACGTTTAAACCTTTGACTTGTCGCTAAAACTGAGAGAGGTAGCTGAAAATTTTTCTATGTGTTCGAACTTCATAGTCTATATATTTCTTTCCGAAAATGGGATAGGTCTGCATGCGATCCCGTCCGCGATAACCCTAAAGCTATAATTTGCTTATATAACAAATATTCAAATTTTGGCGTACCACATTTAGCCGCATTATTCAAAGAGATCAAATTAAAGATGGTCACGATCGGACAGCTTAGTCGCAGTTTGTTGAATAAAAAAACTTTTTTATATATTATATTCAGCTTCATTTCATTGATAAGGATACATCAAGTTCATCGGAATAGATACCACATTCAGAAGGGGGGATAAGAGCCATTTCTTCTTACACCAAACAATCTAAACGTTTTTATTCGTTTGTCCGCCTGCGCACGTATCTTTAAAGCACTAGTATAATGTGTTAGCTTATTTTGAATTCAGTATAAGCGAAGCAAGCGTAAGTCTCTCTCTCGTGACGCTAATACATACATATTTCTGTTTGTCTTGTGTGACTGATCATAGAACAGTTTCTTTCATAACATGTGCTTACTTTGTCTTTCCTTTCAGGTTTCTTCAACTGCACACTTCTCTTAGAACTACCATATATGAAAACCACAGTTGAAGTCTGGGCTTGGGCGCACACATTCGTCTTAAGTCTATTATTTTTACCTATTATAGGAAGAGAGCTGTTGAGGTGACAGCGTCACGCTCGCAGTGAATTTGACTGAGAATGAAATATAATAAGTATAAAAATAATGAGTGTTGATGTGGACCTATGAGAGCCTACGGCGTAATAGCTTAGCTATTAAGAATAATGAAATTAGAGATTACAATGTAAAAATATGAATAATGGTTGAGAATAAGTGATGGACGTCATTTAGGTTCTTGTAAACAACTCTGAGCGAGTTAAACAGTTCGTAATTATATTTATGTTGACTAAGCTTTATCGAGATAAAGTGCCTGGAGAAGCGGTTAGGGACATTAAAGCCTATCTCACGAAGTAATGCGGACGAGTCAATTGTACCATTTATTAATTTGATTACGAAGGAAACCCCAAGAACAAATCTACGTTCCTCCAGTGACGGTAAGGATAACAGAAGCAACCTATCTTTATAGGGTGGAAGAGGGACCAACCTCAATTCCTAAGGGCAAAGAGCAAGAATTGCTTTTGAACAGCACCTATACGAAGGAGACCACACAACAGATGCATACTCAAGTATAGGTCTAACCAAACACATGTATATCCTTTTCGTAATATAAGGATCATCAAGCTCTTTGGACCACTTCTTTATAAAACCAAGCGCGGACCTAGCTTTGCTTATCGAGAGCTCAATGTGCAAGTTAAAACGTAATCTATGGTCAAATAGAACGCCTAAAGCTGTGATCGAATCGACGTAATCCAACATTTGCGAATCAATAAAATACTGAGTAATGAACGACTTCCTTCTTGAGAAAGAAAGCTTCTTACATTTATTTAGATTTAGTTTCAGACGATTCAAAGAGCATCACGCAACCAAATTATTCAAATCGCTTTGAAGATGATGTGATTGCGATTCTACGGAAAAGGAAGAAAACAGTTTCACATCATCAGCACACATTAAGATCTCGCTGAATTTAATCACGGAGGGCAAATCATTGATGTATAAATTAAATAAAAGAGGGGTACGCCAGACGTCACGGGGAATTCATCCGAGGTATTGAGGTAAAACAAAACCCTGATTGATCTACCATGCAGATAAGAGCTTAACCATTCCACTAAGAAGAAAGGTAAGCCAGAGGCTTGGAGTTTAAAGATAAGTAGTCTATGTTTAACCAAATCAAACGCTTTGCTAAAGTCAGTGTATATGACATCAGTGCGAGAGCCACTAAAAAAGCCTTGAAAACATGAGAAGTAAACTCTAACAGATTGGTGACCGTAGATCTTCCCTTTTGAAAACCATGTTGGAGAGGAGAAATATACGATTTCATGCTGAGCC